TTACCTCGTTATGCTGCTTAAGATTAAAGAATTTTGATATGCTACTGATCTAGAATTTTCTTTATTGTTTTTATTATTTATATACATTTTATGATTTTATGGTATAAAGAGCCTTATAATCCAGTAACCATCGCCTTGCTCAGGTTGTGTGCTCTATATTACATAAACAGTTGTATTACGCACAATTTCCGACAGATTACTATTAATATTGATTATGATTGATTATGATTCATAATAATACATAAATGCTAATCAATCATCAAAAATTGAAAACCTCTATCTCTTCTAATATTTTAGACTGCATTTAAATAAAGCTTTAGCTGCATAATGAACGTTTTAAATACTTATATAATTTATATAAATTATTGCTTATCACCTCTGTGTTAAAGCTCTAACAAATGCACACAATATGCGTATATCAAGCTTTTATTCATTATCAGACAACAAAGAAATACCCTACGAAATAATATATATATATATTTGTATACATGTTTATTTTATTTTTATCGCATTCGGTCTCAGCTGTTTGAGTTCTGTTTTTGTTTTGTTGTTTATTTCAGTAATATATTTAATATCTCCAAAGTCGTGTTAACTAACTTTTAAGTTAACAAATTGATGAATGAATCCTTTACAAGTACGCAATTAATATGTATAGACAAATAAAAATACTCTAAACAATTGTGTACTCATGCACGCATTTGAGTAAGTCGCATTAAATATTATATATATACATATATATGTGTACATATGTATACAAAGAAGCTTTTATTATTCATTGTGGTGTACTTCTGTTCTATAATTTTAGTTGAAAGGGAAAATATAATTGAATACTCACAGTTATTCTCAAAGCGAATGCCACCATAAGTGTATGGACATTCATAAAACTCGACTTTCAACATGGAAAATATTGTAATTCGTTCACATGGACGGCAAGTAGAGAAAAGCTTTAAAATTACTTTTTTGGAAATTATTAGCGTACCGTAAAATATTTATTCAATATTCTATTTCATTTCAGATTCCAGCAGCTTCATTTAGCTGTACTTCGGGAGGAACTTAGCTGATTTAATTCTATAAGAACTGAAGACAATGCCAAGATAAACATAAATTTAAAAAAAATCAAGAAATTAACGTTCAAATATATGTAAACAACAATTTTGAATAATTCTAAATTCTAGTTCTCTAATTTCGAACTTATTGTGAATTACTTCCATCTCCTAATCTCTATGGACAAGTCTTAGGAGACAGCTCAGCCAATATGGAGAGGGCAATAACTAATAACTCAAGAAACAGTTTTGCATATTTGTTTTCAAGTTGACTCTAAAGCTTGCAACATTTGCGAGCAATCCTTTAAAAGCACTTTCTAAATCCTTTTGAAAAGTTCATATCCATATACATGGGACTCATTACGCACAGCGCATATAAACAAAAGCGTGAAGCCCACTAAAATACACCATGACCTTCTATAAATATTACGAGTTAAATAAATAAATAAATTATATGCCATTTCGATAGTCACTGCGGAAAAGCATGAAAACCACGTGTACGCCCATCGGTTGATAATGTAGGCTAAAATATGAAGCATATTGTATAAAACTAATTAGATAAGAGTGTTATAAAGCCGAAACGCCCCTCATGTCGATGAATTAATAAGCCAATGGCCATTTTGTAGCATGGAGAGCCAAGGATTTATATATTAGATTTTGGCTGACGGCTGCCAAATATATGTGCAACTAATTGAAAATAATCTGTGGCTGATTAGAGTGATTCGCTGGTTAGATGATTAGCTGATAAGATCGCGTGACACACTGTGTGTGTGGCGAGCGCTAATTGTGCGTAATTGCTGTCTGATAAACCGATAAAATAGCGAACTCCTATGCTAAATACCCGTGGCTCTGGCCGCGTACCACGTGTTGCACATTGCTCATACGACGCGTGGTCCAACAATGACTGCGCATAATCTTGCATGGGCAACATCAATGTGGTGGGCGTTCGTTTGGTTACTCGTGTCGTCGCTATTTACCTGAAAGAACACACACACACACATAGATACACACACGCACACACACACACACAAACATATACAGATTTATACATTGCGTTGAAATCTTTCGAATCCTCGTCCACTTTGATACGAACTCTGGAGGCACGAACTGAGCAAACGACTCGTATAAATCGAGTGCGCCTTGGCACCCGATTTTCACTTACGTTTCAGTTCCAAAGCAGTGCAGTTATCGGAGCAGCGGAAAGTCCTGAACGACAGCAGCAACAGCAGCAGCAGTGGAAGCAGCTAGCGACGGTGAATTCAAATCACAAATTCAAGTTCAAAAACATTTTCAAAGTGATTCACAGTTTTAAATAAATTTTTCTTGTTTTGTGCAGTTCTTGAAAATTATTCACAAACTCAATAAAATCTGAAAACTAAGCAGAGTCTGCCAAGACATAATTAAATTAAATTATCATCAATTTATTCGTTCGAAAAGGAGGGTAAGCGATAATACTAAAATAAAATAAGTACTATGCGATTTGAATAAATATTTTTAAATTACAAGAGTTTTTGTAATTCAGTGAAATGCAATCTTTGCGTATTTTCATTAAAATTTTTGTTTTAATTTGAAAGGAAGGAGCAAACTAATTCCGGATTTTTTTTTAAACTTTTGGAAGGTGTGGTTTCCTTCATAAAAGTAGGTTTAGTGCTTTATCTGCTTTATGAGAGACTGTGTCTAGATTCCTTTTCTACACAATTAGTAATGTTTTTCTTTTTGATTAAAAAACTAATTTGATAAAAGTTTACTATTTTGAAACCAATTCGGAGTACCTTAAATCACTCCTGTTTATCCAGAGAGAGTTGTTTGAATGAATTAAATATTATTTTGATAAATAGGAAAAGCATATGCAATATATCTTCTGCTATAGCATTTGTATATGTATATGAAGTCCATTATTTTAAATCATTAACATCTATACTGATAGAAAAATTGTAGGTCTACAAATCCTTCCTCTTTAAGGACTTGCGATGAGCCTCATCTGCTTTACTAATATTCCATAAAACAAAGTAGTACAACTTCGCATTTATTTGCCACATTTACTTACCGTTAATTTGAATGCTACAAAAGGGTTTATTCATTCTTTCTGTTTGTCTTTCTATTATTAAAAACTATTGAACTAATTTAAATACAAATTTTACATAAAATATCAAGTTATTCGCTTTTTGCTACCATAACGGGACTGTCAAAGAAATTAGATTGCTTCACCCAGACTCCGTCGACTGTGCCACCCAATTCACATCCAAAGATAGCTCAATTCAAAACTTAATGTTTTTCGATTTGCCAAAAGCTTAAAGAAAACATAATTTACAATTTATCCTTATCAGAGATCAACAGTGCAACATTACACTGGCAAAATTTGGCAACACTTTGTGATTCTCGCTGTACAAGTGCTAAAGTTGTTATTTTTACAGTTACTACATATATTTATTATATATTTATTCCAGCTTAAGCTTGAACTAAAGGTTACAGCAGCTCTGCTTTGTAACCTTTGAGATGTGAATCTATATTTCAAATTATCAACAAATAATGTTAATTCTGCAAAACTACAGTAGCTTATAATTGTCCACGTTTTCTTAGACAACAGAGTAAGAACAATTTAATGAGACCAGTCGACTTTCATGTATACATATGTTAAAACATCGAATCCCTGGCTTTAGACACCCGCACAGCCAGTAAAGGCTCCATTTATGATTAGTGCCAATGGGGACCAAAAGAGTGTATTAGCTCTGCAAGCCAATGTTGAAGCTGGTACATATACCTACAGAGACATACTTAAATATATTGACTCTAATTTAGTTTTATAAAATTTCACTTCATTTGCATAGTTAAATATCTCCTATTATAATCACATTTATTTACATCACATGGATTTATTTAATGAACTGAAAATTTCATATGTAAATATACCCACAGAGCTAAAGATTATATTCCCGACATATGTTATGGCAAAGGTATGTGGTATTTGAGCTTCTACTTTCCAGAAAGGCGTAATAAACCTATTTGGAATTTAACTTGCAACTGTCCTAAGCCTTTGCCAGTCAGACAGACCCACACGTGGTCCTTTGGCCCTTCCTGGATGTGTGCTCGGCCAAGGACATTTTGTTCTCACGTTGCTTTTTTGTCAAATTCGTTCATGCGACCCTTTTAATATCGCAAAAATCTTTTACTGAATATTGTGAAATTAAGGTAGATTTTGTACCTTTATTATTTTATACTTTGGCAAAAGGCCGGGCAAAAGGAAAAGTCTTCGGGATTATCGTGCAAATTGCAAGCTCCAATAAGCGACATCTTCCTAAGTGAACGAAATGTGGCTTTTAAATTTATATTATAGAGCTTAAGAATGATACAAAAAATATTCGCTTCTGTTGAAATTGAAACTAAGCCGCTGATGCCATTTTCGGTGCGCATTTGAGCAACATTTTCTCGTGCTACTATTAATATAAACACAAATCGCATTTAGTTGAATTTCTTATGGTGCTGCTCAGCGATTCGCATCAGTGAATTTGACACTAAAACTCTCTTTGCTATATCAGTTTGTATGTCTTTTCGATATTAAATGTGGGCGTTCAGTTATAGCAAAATTTAAAAAATCATTTGAATCAACCCGGAGCAAACATGGAGATATAGTCACTCACTTTAAGGAGAATAGTAGTTAAATAAATAGTATTTAAATCAATTATAAATCTTGATCTCGATTTGTGAACTTTTGCATATTAATTAGTACATTTAATTTGATTTAATTTATTGCATCAATAGTAGATCATATTTGATCAAATTGGCTCTGAAGTTAAAAAACAAATGACTAAAATAATATTCAATAGTATGTGTGCTCTATGTGTGCTAATGTAGCAAATATTCTTGTTGGAGCAATATAAATTAAATGACATTCAATTGAAGTATTTAACACATTCTATTACCCAACTGGAAAAATCTTTTAGCACTAGATTCTTAAAAAAATATACGAGCTCTTATACTTGAAACAAAACTATTGAAGCTATCCAGGCACTGCTGCACTATCGATTCGAATAAACATAGTGAATAGTATTTTCTATTCAGATAATGTAATATTTTTTATTTTTCATTTTAATGATAAATAAGAGAATATAAACCTCACACAAGCACACTTAGTATAGGGACAACTTCAATTGAAATTAATTTTATATTGAGAGAAGTGGAGTTAGTGATAGCCAACAAGTTGGATATGAGGGATTCGAGTAGTTCTAGAGCCCCAAATAAAATAAAATACTTTATTTCATAAAATATACAACTTCTGAGAATTTTCACCAATTTCAGTAATATTTGTTTTAGCTGTTTTAAACTTTAAAAGTCAAAATTGAATTTTTTCTTTTTTATTATAAAACCAATCCATTTATTAAATTTTAGATTATTAATTATATACAAAAAAAAATTCATTAATAAAAATACTCACATAAATAATTGAAGCAATTTCACATATTAAATTTATGCAAACTCAATTTCAGTCTCTAAAAACTAAGATTGATCATTAAATATTTCCCAGCGGCTATAGGGACAAATGCTCCATAAACATTGAAGACAATTTGTTTGTACAATTCAGCATGCTCTGACCACTCTTATGTGCACAGGTGTCCATTCGGACAGAGCTTGAAATCAAAAACTATTTAAGACGGCCGGCCACGCCTCCAGTTGTTTTTTTGCGGCTGTGAATGGTGACAAACTGCTGGGTCTCCCATTGTGCCTGCCTAAATTTGTTTTCTTTAAATTTACAATGAATAAACAAGAGTAAGACCTGAGATGGAAGGAAGGCAGTGCGCGTAACGGCGAAAATACTGAGTTTACTGGATTTCCGTTTCGTTCCCTCTCTTAGTTTGGCTCCGCTGAGTGCGAGTCTGTCCAGAATGCGAAAAAATGAGAAGAAAGGAAAACAAGAGGAACATAATACAGGGCATCTGCTTTTCATCGCAAACTTTTTCGCTTTCAATTAGTTCATAAAAAAGTTTTTCTTTTGCATTTTAAGGCATACCTGAACACCAATTAAAATACATTTATGACGCTCAAGTTAAACGGTCAGCTGTAAGAGCCCGTAAAAACTACTTCTCAATACCCGACGCTGTAGTATCCCTCGTTTTTTTTTTCGGCAACTTAATTGCTAGCCTTTCTTTTTATTATATTTTTTTTTGTTGGGGCGTTTGTTCTTTTCATTAAATTAACATATTTTTATTAATTAAATTGTTTACGCAATGTTTACCCGCAGAAACTTGGGCGGGCGGCACTTGATGACGTCGCTTTTTGGGTTGCACACACACACACACACACACACACTCATTCACCCACACATACATGTTCTTGAATTACCATAGAGCTAAAAGTTCTAAACATTTTGTTTCGAGCTCTGCTGCAACTGTCGCAAATTAAACATTTCTCTAGTGAATTAAACATTCTCGAGTAAAGAGAGAGTGTTGCAAAAATTATAATTTTTACGCACACCATGAACTCATTATGATTTAGCCGAGGATGTCATTAAATTTCAAGTGGCGCCGAGCATTGCGCCATATTATATTATTATGGATATTGTGATGATTATTATTATTATTCTGGACCATGGAATTAATGCTTTTAGCCATTGACTGTTGCTCATTCGAATTGGCCACGGAATTTGAATAAAAAAATGTTTATGTCTAATTGGATTGTTTTTGCGGATTATGGGTTAATGCCTATGAACGGCATTACGGGTATATCATTTATGGACTACCAGGCGCGAAAAAATTTGCTTAGGTGAGTTGGCGGAGCGGAGACTTTTTCTTATAATTTATTATTCTAATAAAAGTACTAAATCAACCTGATCAATCTCTTGATTTAAGATTGCAATTTCAATAATATCTCTAGGAACTGTAACGCCATGACCAGAATATTTGCATCATAAATTTAATATAACTTATTTGTAGAAAATTCCAGTTGACAATTTTATGCCTTAGGGCAGATAATATTTGCTTGAAGCTTAGTTTGCTTAGAGCTTTGCATACCGTCTTCTGTAAACACAATTTTGTTTAATTAGAAACATATACTTGGTATGTTGTGCGCTCAACAGTGACAAAAATATTTGGCATTAAATGCATTAAATGTTAAAATTTCTTGAAACATATTTATTACAAAATGCAAACTTTGTCATACACAAACAATTTGAAAGCCATTGAGCCAACAAACCAACGAGAGCCACATAAAGACGACTTTAACGCCTTCGTCGGGGGCAGATTGAGGAGCAGAGGACGCTGCTTGAGAAACAAGGAACTGCATGTCATTGGCATTTTCCCGGTAGTAAAGAAATGCTTATGAAAAATGCAACATAAAATATTTTTTAAATGCGTATAAATATTTTGTGAGGAGTTGCAGGCGTGAAAATATTCAAATGAAAAGAAGAACGAAGATGTAATACCTTTCTATTTAAGCGTTATACTAACA